ATATATATGATATATATGATATATATAATGATATGGTTCGCATATAATAATTATGCCCGGTGGGAGAAGCTGTGGGCAGAATCCCGTTTTATAATCATGCTGAGTAAACATTGATGTGAACTGCTGCTGCTGCTGCTGCTGCTGCTGCTGCTGCTGCTGCTGTTGATACTGCTAATACAGTGATACTACTGATACTACCAGGAGTGTATCAATATTGATACACTCCTGATACTACTACTGCTGCTGCTGCTGCTGCTGCTGCTGCTGCTGCTGCTGCTGCTGCTGCTGGCGGTGGTGGTTCTGTTACTGCTGCTGCTGCTGCGCGGTCAGACGTCAGCTCTTGTGGCTATCTATACCTGAGTTCTTCTAGCAATCACTCAACACCTGTGCTCTTCTACTAGTCATCGCTAAAGCAAAACCTACGGGCATCTTCGCCTCATTAGAACTGGGTGAGGTACCGGTTGCGTTCTAATGCAGTACTTTTTATAGCGTAGAAAACTGTGAGACTGGGACAGCCTCTGGCACGGGTAATGCTCATACAGTGCCAGCACCTTACGGATCACAGAATAACCCATTGCTACTGCTGTGTACGCACGCGCACGCACGCAGTCACGCACACACGCACAGGTGCAGCCATACGCACTCGAACACGCGCGCACGCACGCAGTCACGCACACAGGCACTTGAAGCATATCAACTGTAAGCGCACGGCGCCGCCATTGCGCGTACACTAATACATAGATATAAGAGACATATATATAGACTCTTATATCTATGTATTAGTGTACGCGCAATGGCGGCGCCGTGCCCTTACAGTTGATATGCTTCAAGTGCCTGTGGTCACGCATACGACGCGCACACACACATACTCTTAATTCGACTAAAAATGTCTCAACACTCCAAGTTATTATTGTACCGGCTACCTTGGCTAACATCAGATTTACGAAGAATCACGGCATTAATTTCCAACAAGGATCTTGTCTCGAATTTATCTGCCTACATACCATCTGCTAACGTGACCGTTTTTCTTTGAGCAAAACCTTCCTTATCGGGTCAGTGTCGCTTATAGGGTCTATGTCCCCCAGGGTACTGCCGGAACGTCTTGCTAGCACAATTGCTAGGTCGGGGCTGCTGGCCCAGCCGCCATATTAGCTCCGTACTGCTTTACTTGCCTTTAGGCGAGTCAACAATGGAATTCAGAGGTTTTAAATAGGTTTCTACATGCCCACGTCAAACAATTTCCACCTACACCGCAGTGTCTACGTCACCAACGTGTCTACGTAACCAACTCTGCGCACGATCACCATCCCAAAAGTACCATATATGTATATGTATCCTGCTAGTATATATATATATAAATGGGTGAAGGGAATATGGAATATTTTCGAATTAAGTAAGTATATGTCGCTGAATTTGCTCTTAAAAGTTGTTCCTAAGCGTTTTTCCCCAAGCAACGCCGGG